TGATACTATGGTTTAGTAATGTTTTAAAAAGAAATTTTTGGACCGTATTTTTGGGATGTTACAAGAAATTACTCACTGAATTGTAAGAGTCATTTATCATTACAAACATTCAAGATGAAACATAAGAAGTATAATTTATGGATTGTACCTTTCAAACATACTGCATAAAAAGGGGATTTATTTCCACCACACAAAAATGTTTTATATTCAAACTACACGTAAACTCGTTAATGTAAGTTTTGAGACAATTCTTCAATTGTACTCTTAAAGTACAGGTTAAAAATTCATGTAAGTTATAACCAGAGTCTCTTGTAGGGAGAGCGTGATAATTGTATATAGATCTATATTGGGATTGACACCCCACACCTTGCTGCTAGCTACAGCGGGACCTGCAGGTCTACGGGTGACAAAAGTCATAACAAATTTTAACGTCTGAAAAACGTTGTAGCAGGTCATCCGGTTGTAGTATGGTTAAAGCAACTCACATAGGGAGTTAACAACACTTAAAGTTTACGGGAAATTCTACTTCAAAAAGGGGTTTTATCTATTTAAAACTGAATTCATCGTTACAATTTACGAAACACACTCATACATTCTGTCTTGGGATTTAAGGCTACATAACATATTATAAGGAAAATATTGGATTTTTCTTGAGTAACCATTACATTTACAAACAAAGGTTTTTCCAACATTTCATCCAAAAGCTTATGAACTCACCAACTTAATTCTTGACACTCTTTCAAAACTACTTGTATTCTCAGGAAACCAGTGAAACAGGTAACCAACTGCTTTTGAGGATGGGACGCAAGACGTCAATTAATATATTTTTGTCATCATAATGTAATTGATTTTGAAACATGTAAACTCATACTATGGTGTAACTTTTTCAATTATATTTATGATGGTTGTATTTACTATGAGCATTATTATACTCGTTGTTGTGATACTATACATGAAGTCAGCCACCCCCGGACGTTTCCGCTATCCTTGGTTTTGGGGTGTGACAAAATTAGAAACCCAAGTGCTATATTCATTATAGTTTGAAGAATCACTACTGAATGAATCATTTTGATCTTGATAACCTTGAAAAGTGAGAGAATTCACTTTTTTGTGGTAGAAAGAAATATGATATTGATGTTATTTATAGTAAAATATAGTTGTTGTTTGTGCCGTTTATAACCGTTGCGTATAAATAGTCGTTGTGTATATATATTACATATATGTATATTTATTTTATAATTCATTTAATAAGACTTATAATTAGTACATAATTTTACTTGGTATAATTTTACTAATTACAAACATAAATAAATACTAGTAAATATTTAAATAAAATTATGAAGAATATCTGAAATATAATAAATAAACATTGATATGTATAAACAAACGCTAGTATACATGAAAATTAGTTGCATAATTTATATGTTAGTATACATAAATAAACATTAGTTGCATAATGTAAATGCATAAATAAAAGTAAGAATACATAAATAATAGTTGGCAAAAAAAATAAATATCATTAGTTGTTAATAACAAACACTTTTTCATAATTCATAATTATTTTTAATATAATGGTTGTTTTATAAAAAATACCTTTTTTTATTAGGTAATACATTCATTGAGTATGATAAATATGATTTCCACTTGATTAAAGATTTCTTGTTGATAACGTGTTAAAAATTCGATATAATTAACACTAAAACTTACAAAACTAAACCAAAACATTATAAAATAAAAAAAATAAGGTTTGAAATGATTTTTGAATTCAAGATGGTGTGATGTTCTCTATAATTACATTTGATGAGTATTTATACAACTTAACATCTTATTCACAAATCATCAAAATAATATTCAATAGATAAAAATAAATTATTTTAGAAGTGAAAATTATTCATCCACAATCATTGTATAACTCAATATATATATATATATATATATATATATATATATATATATATATATATATATATATATAGTTGTGGAGATTGTGTGTGAGAGTGTAGATGGTTTGATAATTGGAAGGCAGTGGGGTGATGTGCGTGACTGTGTGACTTTGCGTGCGGGATCTCACATTTACTAGTAACCATCTTGTCAATTGTCAGCACTTACAACTCAATATATCTGTCCACACTCAATCATACTCCAATATTCAAATATCTTTTTCACTCACTCACATTCAGACACATAATCACACACACTCACATATACACACATAGATAGAGAGAGAATGTATGTTTTTTTTTCGGGGGAGAGGTTAGTAAAGTAAGCATGTAGCAGGCTATATGGAAATTAAGTTTGAAGCATTTTGAGTTTATATATACGTTTTGCGATTTCTGAAGGGATATATAAGTGATGAAATTAGGGTTTTGAAAGTAGGAAAAAAAAAGAAGAAATATATATGTAATTAAAATAATGGAACTTTGGGAAGAACAAAGAACACAAGACACGAGGGAGATACCGGCTTGCTAAGTAAAGGAAGAATGGGGAGCAAAGAGTCCTCATTTTCATACTCTTGTAGTTTACCAGACAAAATATGCTTACTTCTAGGGTTTTCAAGTTTCGGTTCCATTTGCCAACGACAACCCCCTCTTCCTCTCTTACCTCCATTAATTCAAATATCCTCTACTATACGTCTATACCTACGATTAATATATGTACCCACTCCAAATTAAGGAATTCATATATATAAAAAAGAACGAAAAAATGACATGTTTGTGTGTGACTAAAATAGCGACGACAAAATATAGTAGCCATAGTCCGTTTACATCGACGATATTTGACCGCAATTGGTAGCAACGACCGGTTGGACTCGTTGTATTGACCTATAGCAACAAGACTATCTGACTTTTGACGACTACTTTTGTCTGCTCAATTGGTATTACTACTTGTAGTGGCATAATAGAATTTCTTAACTTAATTCCCTTCCTCGTAACCCAAATACATGTTTCTAAGGAAAATTAAAACAAGATTATCATCAATCTTAGTACCAGTTTTCACAAATATATATATATATATATATATATATATATATATATATATATATATATATATATATATAAAGTTGGTAATACCAAATAAAATAACTTAAAGTAAGAGATGTCCATGTATGATGGGTCAATAAGCATTATAAGAATATAAAAAGACAATTTAGGATAATATTTAGGGTTTACCTACTAAACCACTTCTAGAAAAAAAAAAAAAAAAAAAAAAAAAAAGTAAATGACAACTATTATCCCTCAGAAGCAAGACGCTGGGTGGTGGATAACATATAAATTTAGATCAGAATATACTGCAACATCAACAAATCATATTATATCATTATATCAATATAGTAATCATCACATTCCTACTGATAATCAATTCTCGTTGCCTTGTTAAAAAATGGCCAAATTCTTTTAAGTGGATTAGGTTTACAAAATCTATCCAGTATACAGCACATCAGCTAATATTTAAGCTCCCTGGCTCGCGTCCGATCGAAAAGTAAGAAGGTAGAGCGCTTGTTCATCTGAGATGTTTTGATGTTTCAAACAATCACTTCATCACCATGCAGTGGCCATGATTATAGGGTAATTTCATCTTGGGTTAGGGTTTCTAGTTTCATGCAGCTAAACATTTTGGAGAGAAGAAGAGACTATGTATCCGTACGTACGTATATATTATTATATATATGATGTTTATTAATATACGTTAACTCTGATAAGGATTAAAACCAAGAAGAAACAGAGAAAAGAGGCTGATTTTGCCAACCTAGGAAGAAAGAGTTATTGATGGCCTCAAGATTATAACCTTCAGAAGGATAATGGAGTCTCAACAGCAGCTTGGCCTGTGAAAGCGCATAAGCGCTGAGCGCAACGTTTCGGAATCCAGCACTCCTCATCATCACCTCCCAGGATCGGTATCGCTCGTGTCTTTCTTTCCTGTTTTCTCCCTCCGCCGCCACTATATCTGCGATCTCTCTCCCGAACCACACTTGCTCCACCTCAATTCTCTCCCTGCTGTTTGGCGGTAGCGTTGCCTCTAGCGATTCGAAAACAGCTGTGTAATAGCTCATAGCCTCCGTAAACCTGGACAGGAATATTGGATGGTTGTGGTTGGCTTCTCTCTCTGCCAACGTAACTACTCTAGGGTTCATGGACTTGATCTTTCTGAGCAATAAGCAGAGTTTGTCTCGGTTTCTCAAGAGGCGGTGGAGGTAGAGGACGCAATTGACCGCTAGCATTTCGTTAGGCAGAAGGAGGACAGCGGAGAGGTGGTCGATGAGGTGGTCGACGCTTTCGTTGTTTGTGTGTGGGAGTAGAAGTGGGTAGAAACGGAACCTGAGTCCGAGGGAATGTGCGAACTTAGAGAGCCGGTCACCGGTACGTCGAAGGATATTGAGGTTTGTGCCGGTGGCGGTAATACGGAGGGATGGAGGAGGATATCTGTCCGCGATGGCTTGCATTAGAGGCGGCCACTGAACACCGTGCATGATGTCGAAATCAAGTATGTGAATATTTTGAGGATCCGGAATGATGGAAGATTGACGTTGTTGCTGTTCCTGATGTTGATGAGATTGATCAATGGCTTCTAAGATGGCTTGATTAGCGGTGAGCTGACTAAACCTAATGAATGGAGTTATTTGATTGAGGGACAAATACGAGGATTGGAGAATTGTATCACCATAATGATCAATGTAATTGAAAGAAGTATTACAACGTTGAGTCATCATAAAATTGCTACTACTATTAACGGTAGTATTGATGATTGGTAGTGGTGGATTGATCATATTGGGGAAAGTGGGAGGTGGCGGAGGGTGAAGACGAATGCGGAGGGATAGCGCTTTGGTGAAAGAGTGGACTAATCGGTCTGAGGAATCGCCGTAAGGGGAAGAGTTGGAGGATAGGATGGTGATGAGGCGGTGGGCGGCGGAAAGATCAGAGCGGGAGATGTGTTGGGCGCAGCTCAGGAGGAGTTGGCGCATATGGATGGAGGGTACATTCTGACTGTTGTTAATCTGAGGCTCTCGATGGTTATGTTGTTGGATCTGCGGGTGGAAATGGAAGGATGTCGTCGATGAGTGCAGCTGATGTAACTGTGGCGGCGGCACCGGCAGCGGTGGGGGTGGTGGTGGAGGTAGATCTAGTTGTAAATCTTGATTTTCATCTTGACGAGGAGAATGAGACGACGAACCCAACATTAGTATCCTGTTGGTGGTTTGATGGTTTCTTGAGCAGTAAATTACTGGTAGGTTGGTAGCCGTTTTTAGACCAAAATCCACCCTACGCAGACGCCTGCACAGTGATCCGCCATAGAAGAAGGTTATATGTGAGAGATGCTTTTTTGCTTGCACCAAAACACCTGATGAGAGAGAGAGAGAGAGAGAGAGAGAGAGAGAGAGAGAGAGAGAGAGAGATCCCACATATATGTACAATGTACCATCTATTCAAATACATACACGTATATGTATATATAACACACAATAGAAAATTTAATAAATTCCAAAATAAATATAACATATTATATATATATATATATATATATATATATATATATATATATATATATATATATATATA